TTTTTTTTTTTTTTTAATTTTTTATTTTGAGACAGGGTCTTACTCTGTTGTATGGGCCTTACTAAGTTGCTGAGGCTGGGCTCAAACTTGGAATCCTCCTGCCTCAGCTTCCTGAGTCTCTGGGACTACAGATGTGCACCACCACATCTGGTCCTTGCCAAAGATGTGCCTTATGCAGGAACATTAGCTGTGGGATTGTTTACATCTAATACTTTTCAGTTTGGCCAAATAGCTCACGTTCAGAATATTTAGTTTTGAGCATATGGGAAAAAGAAAGCAACAAAAATGTGGCAAGGGATAGGGTATCTTAGGATACCTTAGGATAGGAAAAGCAGAGGCAAAAGATGCGCAAGTGAGATTCAAATGGAGGTTCAGGATCAGTTCCCTTTGTAAATTACCTTAGCATTTCCCTAGGGTCTATCAATTCAACCACTAGGTGCTCCCACAGGTATAAATCTCTGGAAAAGGGAGAGGTATCATCAATGATGGGAAAGCCAGCCAGGGCTTGTAGGCTAAAGGTGTTTTGTTAGAGTTGACAGTTTTCAGTGTATCATTTTTAACAAAAGTTGGTAAAGTGTTTGGATCTGTAAAGGATTTCACCGGCCTGAAGTTCCCTGGGAGCTGTGACTATAGCTCTGGAGGACTTAGAAGTAAGTCAGGCCTGATGTGGTGGCGCACGTCTGTAATCCTAGTGGCTCTGGAGGCTGAGGCTGGAGGATCCCGAGTTCAAAGACAACTTCAGCAAAAGCGAAGTGCCAAGCAACTCAGTGAGACCCTATTTCTAAATAAAATTACAAAATAGGGCTGGGGATTTTTGGCTGAGTGGTTGAGTGCCCCTAAATTCAATCCCTGGTACCAAATAAATAAATAGACTATTCCACTCCCCTGCTTAGAATTTACCAATGTTTTCCCTTGCCCTTCAGCCCTTCAGATATAATCCCACTTTCTCTGTGGGTGTTGCATGGCCTGTCCCCTTGCTCCACTTTCTCCCACTAGTCCCCCCCTGGTGCACCCTGCTGCCTTCTGCTGCAGCTGCACTGGCCTTCCTGAAGTTTTTGAGAATGTCATATATCTTTTTGCCCCAAGGGTTTTCTACTGTTAGCCCTTCTTTTCAAGATCCCCTTTCTCCCAATTTTTGCATGACTGACTCCTTTTTTGCTTGGGTTTCAGAGAATCTTTCTGTGATCTAGAACAGTTGCCTCCCTCCTCAGCCTCTTTTGATCTTCTTAATTTTTTTCAAAGCACCTTAGCACCATCTAGAAATAATATACTTTGTCTACTTGTTTATTTGCGTGGAAGACTGAGAGCTCCTTGACTTCCTGCTGACAAAACTTGGCTTTGAGTGGGCACTGGATGAATACCTGTTGGTTGAATGAATGCATGACCAAGCAAGACAAGGTTTCCAGTTTCTAAAGTAGCACTTTATTTGCTTTGTTTTTTTTT